CGCATCCGGACCGCGGGGCCAGCGCTCGTCCACGCGGGGCCGCGTCCCCAAACTAGGTCTTGCCTGGAGCGCGAGGCTTTTCATTGGAAACGAAGGGGCTGCTCGGGTGGTCGTTGTCTGGACCTGGGCGCGGCGGCCCTGGGCGGGGCGGCTCTGTGACTGCGGCTTTGGGGAAGTCGGGCGGAGGTGCGCGTTTAGCGAACTGTCGGGGACCACCTCCTTCGGGGCAGGGTTGTAGATTCGCAGAGGGGGCGCCTCCGGCCCGTTTTGCCTTGCTTGTCGAGACTGGGGGGGATTTAGGGTGGGGATTGGCACGACCCAGCAGGGTGGTAAAGAAAGCCCGGGGGGCTCTTAGGAAGACCGGTGCTTCGGAGGCTTTCCGGTCGGTCTCACCCGCCGTGTGGCCTCCGCATATCGAGTTTCTCACTGTCGCAGGTGGAGGGATTGATGTGAGACTTCTCCAGTTGAGTAGCTCCTCGCTCCTCGCCTCGACTGTTCCATAGTGGAGATCGGTGTTTGCGGCTCGGTTGTTACACCGAGGTTGTGTTACGTACACGGTCATCCTTGTGGTTAAGTGTGCCAAAAGGTCAAGTTAATTACATCACGTTGAAGTTCCTGGAAAAAGGAGCCAAGAGTTACTTTATTTTTCCCAGTGTGTTTTAGAGTAAAGGGTATCACTTACAACCTTGTTGTTAGGCATTACATGCAGTTTTACCTGTGTTTTGGAAAGATAAAAGGGGTTCTGTAAGCTCGACCTATTGTATAGAACAAGTCACAAAATCGGGATTCTCTGCCAAATTCAGTTTTACTTAATATTTGAATTTATGTAGTTGTCTGGCTTCTTTGTCAGTTTTACCTCAGCTCTTATAAAGAACCTGTCATTAAAAAAATCTTTCGGCATTCAAAGCACAAGTGTGTACTTGACACCATTTCTTTTATGTCCTTGGGAGTGGGTACAACCTCCTTTAACTTACTGGTTGTATCTGTTTTGGAATAGTTTCAGGCTTGCCTTACAAATGTCGTCAAGGTATTTTAACTAGGGATATCACTTACATTTCTCAAGATTTACTTTCTCATTTTTGTTTTTTTTTTTGACACAGTCTCACTCTGAAGCACAGACTGGCTTCTAATTTGCAAATCTTCCTGCCTCATCTTCAGGGGTCCTGGGATTGCAGGCATTGGCCAAGGTTTATTAAAAAAAAAAAAAATAGATTCTAGAGTCATATTACTGGGGCAACTGTTAGTTTCTTGTTCTAATGTTGGAAATGCATATATAATTTTATTTGTAAACTTTGATTACCAGAGCCAGGAGACCTATGAAGTGTGAAGTAAGGACTGCCTGGGATGGAGGCCCTTAGATGGCTCCTGGGGATCCTAGGTGAAGCTTTGAGAGGCGCTAGGCTGTCTTTCTCAGATGAGCTGTTGCAGGGGTGAGGAGATTCAGTTGGTGCAAGTTAGATTACAGCAAGTGCGTTTTCAGTTTGAGTAAAAGGATATTTTAAGAAGTAAAGAAACAGCTTGGAACTGTTCTAACTCATAACTAGTCTTCTTGTTACAGTTTTCATAAGAATGAGTTACTGGTTAAAACCAGGTTTCACTCTCGGGTCTAAAAGATCGGATCTAAAAATTCATAAAGGGAGAAGTTTTACTATGACTTTTAAAAATCCAATTCTAACATGCAAATGAACCTATGTTTAAGGGTTTTAGGACTGAGGAGAGACTGCTTTGAAACAGAATATTTCCTGTGATTTACTACGGGGAATTAAACTGAATAGTTAAACGTGGTTTCTTGTATTTAATTCTTGGGCCTGCCTGAAAATTTGAAACTTGTTTGCAAAGGCTAGAGTACTTGGAAGGCTGTTAGTGGCGTCATTTAATGCTTCTTACATAGTTAACTCGTATTTGAGGGGTATGCCTTTTGTGTTTGTGGGGAGGGTATGTTAGATCTGTCTTATGCTTGCTTTATTTACTTACTTTTAAATTTCTTTTTGTTTTTTTTTTTTTGAGACGGCGTCCCACAGTGTAGTTCAGGCTGGCTTCAAACTCACAGCAGTGCTCCTGAGTGTTTGGTATTATAGGTGTGTGCCACCACACCCGGCTGCTTGTTTTAATTTCGTGTAGAATTGTCATAGTGACACACAGAGTGGAACCAAAGGCTCTTGGAAAACCCAGGATCTTTTAAATCAGTACAGTGTTTATAAACAGTGAAACTTTATTGCCATGACCTGTTTTCTCACTTAGAAAGAAAGCTTTCTAAAGCTTAAGAAGCCGTAGTGTCAGCTCTGATTTTTTTTTTTTTTTTTTTTAATGGCAGTTTTGAATTGAGTCTTTTTTTGTGTGTTGACACTGTTTGGAACACAATTTTAAGCTAAAAGAATATGTGCACTATAACATTTAAGACTCTTTAAAAGAGCTTTTTAACGAGTTTTATTATGAAATATCTCAGATCATCTTTAATTTGGAATATTGCTTTAATTTGGTCTGTGAAATGACAGTGCATTTACTTACATTTAAAAAACTCAACACTATTCTGTAATTTGGATTTTTAATCTGCCAGTGCATAATTTAGCCACAGAGATCTGTTACGAAGACAGCTGCTGTTGTGCACACTCTCACGTTTGACTTAATCTTGGTGAGAATGATTGAGAGGACCTGAGACATTTTTCCTAATTCTGGTTTCTTCTTGAAATTACCTTAAAGAAAGCAATTTTTATAGTTGAGCAAAAAACTCAGTGATGTATTTGGGGAAGGGACAATGAAGAAAGAGAGTTTAAAATGTCTCAGAAGTATGCAGTGAGATTATCTTGTTTATTGAAGGCTAACCGTAATCTGAGTTTGCTGTGAGCATGGCTTACAGCTAAGACATTTTGTTCAGAAATTTGAAAATAGGTGCCAAATCTGAATACCTTATTGAGGATGTATGAGAATTTATATTACCTATTACCTGTTGCCTCTTACCTGTGATTTTGTGGCAGGTCCTTGGTGGGGGAGATAGGAGGAAGCATGGTTTCTGTTTTTTTGGGTGATAATCTCACCGTTTTTTTTTTTTTTTTTTTTTTTTGGTTTTTCTCCGGTACCGGAACCGAACTCACGACCTTGCGCTTGCCAGGCAGGCGCTTTGCCGGTGAGCTAAATCCCCAGCCCCAATCTCACCTTTTTTAAGTGGCAAACATTTGAGTACTGAGAAGAAGATACAGTGGTTCCTCAGTTCACAAACTTGATTACTGACACAATTTTGGGAAAGATGGCCACATTTGTGTCCGTGTGGGAAAGAGGGGTGTGGTTGTGTTTGTCACCCGACATAGAATTTGCAAACAAAAAACAAGATTTTGCCAAATGCTTTGGCTTGCGAACCACATTGTTCAAAAAACAAGTGTTTGGAACTGAGGTACCAGTGTATTTTAATTTTCATGTAAACCTTAAAAAACTGGAACTGTTGGAGACTCCCAAATTGCTGAAAGGGTAGCGGCAGACATAAACATGATGGATTTCATGCTGTGCATTGGGAATTTCTCTGTGGCCTTATTAAGTGGGGATGAGGAGAAGAAATAGTTGGAATCTTTGGGCCAGAAGTATTTTTCCTGTTTTTGTGCTCTGTCCTCTTTATCCATGCTCCCAAACTGCAGTTTTGTATTTAGACTTTGTAAGAGAGCAGCTCTGTGTTTGCCTGGAATTTCTTTGGGAGAGGCTGAACTACTTGCATTTTTCTGGGACACTCTGACCTTGGAAGCTACCCAGTGCACTGGCATCATGGGAATTTACCCAGCAATTTTTGGGGGTCTGTCTGTGCTGTAGCTTTGGAGCTTCCTGGATCCTTTTGGAAAGGCCATATAAACCTCACAGTGATTGAAGAGAGCAGAATTTTCAGGTACATG